CAAAATTAAATTACTGCATTACAAAAACTCTAAGGTCACAGGTAATACTCCACCAGGCCAAACAGTTACTAAAATGACACAAAATCCAATACATTATAAATAAAAAATATATACAATTATAATGTTGTGATACCTGACATTTGTGACAGTCATCCCAAAAACATCAGTAAAATAGAATAATATGTAAGATAATTCTCCACTTCCATCTGATGTTACATTATATGAGGATTATTCAACAAGGCATATACCAAAATAAAACTGATCAACAACTTTATTCTTTTTTTCAAAATATATTTTTTTTTAAATCCAAAGAGTTAGAATTTTCTTGTCTCTTCCCACTTGTCAACACAACATATGCTGAAGTGTTTGCATCAAAGAATTACAAGGATTTTGGTGTAAAACGTACAGCTTTTAGTGTCAAAGTTGCTTGTTAAATGGTGAGTCAAAATAAACAAATAATTGAACAATCAAACTGTATTTATCTGTGAGCATCAAAAATAGTCTGCAGCATTCTCCTTCGTTTGTCGACCCAAGGGCTAATATCCCAGTTTTATAATAACGTCCTGTTTTGCTATATTCAACACTGCAATTACATTTCTAAGAAACAAATGCGAGTTGAGGATGGCCTGGGTTCCTGTGCTGCCCTGATAAATGCCAGAAATGTAGGGATCCATTCATATGAAAACGCTAAAATACCTCCTGGCACAACATTATTGCAATTGTTCCCCACAGTTACATGTGTAACACTCAGATCAGGGCTGTGCTTAACATAGCTGTGCTAGCATCGGTGCTAATGAGGGAGCTCAGCCAGTCTCCTCTCTGATGCCGACTAAATGAGCTCTCATCTCCTGACACAGCTAATGGCTGCTGTAATGGTCATAGGCCATTGTGTGGCTGCGGGGTAGAGAGAAAGATGACCCATGCTTTATGTGGCAGCATTGTTGAAAGGTTTCCTGAGGGGCATTATTTACTGTTTGTTTTAATGACACTCGAAAGTCACTTGAAATTCACTTCATTACAGCACTGGATGGTGTCGAAAGTGATCGTTCACTCGGTGATTAGATTGTTATTTAATACATTTATTTCTTTCATTGTTTAATAGGTGAATCTGAGTTTTTTAAAGTCACCCATTAACAATCTATTTTTATCTAGGTATGTCTGTCAGGTGGTCAATCAGTTGGTCAGTAAGATATCTCAACAATGAATTAATCTATTAATGTGAAATTTTGTACACACATTCATGGTCCCCAGATGATAAATCCCAATGACTTTGGTGATCCTCTACAACAGTTGAATATATATTGCCATACACTAGTGGTCAGTACAAACATAAAGATCAATTGTAAAAACCTCAAAGGTCCATTGTGTAGGATTTATGCTGCATTCAGGTGGTAGACAGCAAACTGGATGTCATGTCCGTAGATGAGAGCAGGACGGTAAACTTAGGTGAGGGCGGAAGAGAATACCGGCAACTGTAACGGTACAGTACAGCTGTGGAAAGGTCTTCACCCTCCCCTTCCAAACGAGAAGGAGGAACTACAGTGGCTGCGAAACGCGTGAAAAAACTATACTAAGATGGTGAACATAGTAAACATTATACCTGCTCTGCTACATATTAACATTGCAGTTGTACGCATGTTAGCATGCTGAAAGTAAGTAAGTAAAGCCTTAAAGAACTGTTAGCGTGGCTGTGGACCTTTGGGGCCAATATTGATCTATATTGATTGATTTGAGCAATAACCATATATCTTAAACTATATTTTTAATCGAATGCGTAAACATACAATGAACATACATATCTGTCACATTCCTATCCTGCAGTTTTTGTTACTTACCTTTGATCTGCTAAACTGTGTCCTTCAGGCTCAAACTCCAACATCGTAATGTATATTTCTAGCAAGTAGAAAATTGGATCACTGTTTCGCTTTTCCACGTTATATCCCCTCTCTAAGACTTTATCCCAGTTGATAAACAAACCTGGACGGACTACAAATCAGATACAGGAGACAGCACATCAGAGAGCACTCCAGATAAGAGTGAAAAAGTAAGGGATAAGTGATGAATTAAGCGATGAAGTGGTTTCAAAGAAATGTCAAACTCTGGTTATAATGTAGCGGCTTTAATGTTAAGGAG